GACCTGCATCATTTCTTCAGTGAGTTGTGAGGAAAGCCAAAATGTCAGTACGCCAAAGTGAAGAAAATGTAGCTAATCTCGCTGCTCCTGGTGACAGCTGTGTCATTTGCAACGAGGAAACCACAAACTTTAATTTTGTGTCTACGCCTTGTATGCACGGTTTTCACCGATCGTGTCTAACGATATGGCTAACCGACCACGATTCTTGTCCTTTGTGCCGTAGAACTATTGATTCACAGTCCCTGAGAAGTTTTTCCGAACAAGAACTTCGACCAGGTATGGAGAATTCATCTTCTCAAGGTGCAGTACCCAGAAATAACAACTCAAACGCAGGAGGTCGTATGACACGATCTAGGGCTGCAAATAGTAATCCACCTGATAGGTCTATACAAGACGATACTCGTTCACCGGCTAATATGCGTCGCGGTCGTAATTACAGACAAAATCGAGACGAGCAGCGACAAGCTAACTAAGATTTACAACGTATACAGCAGATGATAGAAGAGACAACTCAATGTCAGCGAGTTAACATGACACGCGAAATTACAGATATTGTCAGTCAGTTAGTGTCTCAGACTCAGTAGAAAAATATTTTCAGAATTTAAGCCTTAATAATAACCCCAAATGAACGAGTCAGGCAAGATCCAGAATCGTCCCGAAATTTGTTAGATTTGCCTAATATCAGCGAAAGTCGGATTCCTGGAGCTCAAAAACAACAAAATCTAAATAACCATGTACATTTAAACCTTCCTAACAACGAAAATAATACCCGTGGTAACCAAAACTTACACAATTTATCACCTGAAGCGATTTCTAAAATTATCATTAACTGGAAGCTAACCTTTGATGGATCATTAGAGAAAGTTTCCGTTGATGAATTTATTTATAGAATAAACGCATTGACCATGTCGTCTTTGCGAGGCAATTTCAATGCTCTTTGTCAAAACGCTCACATACTTTTCGAAGGGAAAGCAAAGAACTGGTATTGGAGATATCATCATTCAGTGCCAGCTCTGGATTGGTTCGACTTATGTGATGCGTTAAAGAGCCATTTTAAGAATGTTAGAACAGATTACGATATTAAGGAAAGGATACGAAATAGGAAACAGAAACTTGGAGAAACGTTTGAACAGTTTTTAGAAGCTGTTATGACCTTGAGTGATAGTTTAAGAGTACCAATGTCAGAACAAGAGCTAGTGGAAACCCTTATTCGTAACTTGCTCCCGGATATACGCTTGGAGTTACTTCACTTAGATATAACATCAATTACGGCATTAAGGCGTACCTGTAGGCGACGCGAAACATTTTTCGAAACAGTTAAGAGTAGTCTTTCGAGACCGCAAATACCGCAAAAACGACAGCTAGCTGAAGTACTGCAAGCCGATCGAAGTGCAAGTTCGGAAATTGACTCGATTGAACCAGTAGAAGCGTCAAGCGTAGAAGCAATTGAGAAGAAATGTTGGAACTGCGATTTACCCAGCCATAGTTATAAGCAATGCCTTAAACCTCGTAGAGTATTCTGCTATGGATGTAGTTTACTTGCTTTATTTTTACCAAACTGCCCGAATTGTAATGGTCCGGAAAACAAACTAAGCGGTGTCTACAATACAACCAGCAGGCATCCCAAACCTCGAATTAAAACCTCAAACGAAGATACTTAAAAGTACTAATAATAAGACACTATCAGATATACCAGTACACCCGATTCGTCCACTTCACCGCCGTTTAAAAGAGTATGAATTGAAGCGACAGGAAATATTTTCTAAACACGTTCGACTGTTCGAGCGAGAGCGTATTGGGAAAACGTAAAAATAAAACAGGAATGCTTATCAGCCACAGTGGTGTGCAAACCAGGCGACATTCGGCCGTATGCTTCTGTGGAAATATTAGGAGAAAAAGGTTTATGGTTACTAGACTCCGCAGCTTCGATTAGCTGCATAGGTTCAAAATTGGCAAATTATATACTTACGCGAAACCTGAAGATTAAGAAACTTGACACAAATTTATGTACAGCAGATGACTCGAACCAAAAGGTTCTCGGCATTGTAACGTTAGACGTACGCTATCAAGACAAAACGTTCCCTATTGAATTTTATCTCGTTCCTAGCCTTGGTCAAGAGGTGTACTTAGGAGTAAATTTGTGGAAAAGTTTTCAAATTGCCCCAAATATTGTGAATGAGCTGAATGTAGCCGAAACGGATGAAAATGTTCATGAGCTCTCAGCGATCCAAAAAGAAAAGCTGGTCGCTGCAGTTCGATGCTTTCCTTCATTTGAAGAGAAGGGCCTGGGAAAAATCTCACTCTTAGAGCATGTTATCGACGTTGGCGGAGCAACTCCGATCAAACAACGTCATTTTCCTATTTCGCCGGCAATTGAAAGGCTAATGGGCCAATATATAGATCGTATGATAGCTCTTGGAGTAGAGTTGTCTTCTCGAGAAAAAACGGCCTTTACTGTGCCCAACAGACCATTATATCAGTTCAAGGTAATGCCCTTCGGGCTGTGTAATGCGCCTCAATCTATGTGTCGGTTAATGGATAAGGTTATCCCTTACTACCTCAGGGAACGATTCTTTGTCTACCTCGATGATCTCCTTCTGATATCAGAAGACTTTGATTCCCATATCCAGCTTTTGCAAGAAGTAGCGTTGCATATCCAAAAACCTGGATTGACCATTAACATCGCCAAAAGCAAATTTTGCCTCAAGCAAGTCCGCTATTTAGGTTATGTGGTTGGACGAGATACACTTCAGACCGATCAAGGTAAAATTTCAGCTAACACAGGATATCTGCCACCAAAATCCGTGAAACAGCTACGCCGGTTCTTGGGATTGGCTGGCTGGTACAGGAGATTTATAGCGAACTTTGCTGCTATTACTCACCCGCTGACGGAGTTGCGGAAGAAAGGTCGTGAATTCCAGTGGACTGAGGAAGCACAGGGAGCTTTTGAGCTTCTAAAGCAGCGCCTTACTTCTGCGCCTATATTAGCCAATCCTGATTTTAGTAAACCGTTCCTGATACAATGTGACGCGAGTCAGTGTGGTGTAGGCGCGGTGCTAGCCCAAACTAATGAGAATGGAGAAGAAATTCCTATTGCGTATATGAGCCAAAAACTTAACAAGGTGCAATGGAATTACTCCGTGACAGAACAAGAATGCCTTGCCGCAGTTTTGGCTGTGAAGAAGTTTAGACCTTACATCGAAGGACAAGCATTTCGCATCATAACGGATCATGCGAGCCTTCGATGGTTGATGAAGCAGAGTGATCTCAGCGGTCGCTTGGCGCGTTGGGCACCTAAATTGCAAGCATTTGTTTTCACGATCGAGCATCGGAGAGGTTCCACGAATGTAGTGCCAGACGCTCTGTCTCGAGTAAACACCGAAAACTTAGATGTGCTAACGTTACCTTGTGAAAATGTTCCTGATATAGACCTGAACTCACCCGAATTCGACACTGCAGAATACTCTGAGCTAAGAGAAAAGCTAAAGCACGAAGAAGATCGCTTTCCCGACTTTAAGGTGGTGGATAAATATATCATCGCTGCGAGTTTTACAGTGGGAATGAAGATCAGCAAGAAGCCGCATGGAAGCTTGTTGTGCCAAAAGGATTGCGGGATGAAGTTTTGTTTAACGCACATACCGTGGACGCAGCTGCTCATGGTGGAGTCGCTAAAACCGTAGAGAGAATTAGAAGAGTTTTCTACTGGCCAGGTATTTACCGCTCAGTTAGGGATTATGTTTCAAGTTGTGAGATTTGTAAAACTACTAAACACACCATCAAAGTACTTAGGCCTCCCATGGGGAGGTTCACACAAACGGAACGAATTTTTCAAAGGCTTTACATAGATCTAATTGGGCCATTTCCACGATTTAAAAGCGGCCATATCGGTATTTTAATTGTGCTCGATCAAATGTCGAAGTTCACCTTCTTATGTCCATTGAAGAAGTTTACCACGTTACCTATAACTAACTACTTAAAACAACAGGTGTTCGATACATTCGGTGTTCCTGAATTCATCATCAGCGACAACGGTAGCCAGTTTCGTTCGCACGAATTCGAAGGTTTCCTTAAGAGATATGGGGTTAAGCATACTTATACGGCGATATATTCACCACAGAGTAATAGCTCAGAGCGGGTTAAATGCTGCACTCCGCGCGTATATCAAGACGCTGTATCATTACAACATCTTTAAAACCTGTTTTGTGATGGCTGGTGACGTACTAGACCCTGGCATATTAACATTACTCCAACATCGGAAATGATTTCAGAAATATATATATATAATTTCCACTTAATAAAATGTCTCACCAACCACCACAGTTATTAAATTAATCAGCGAACAATTTTTTTACGTCACCCAACACTGCCTAAACCCCTGTCAGCACTACTGAGAGGATAGAGAAGTAGAAGTGACATTTTCTGGCATGATTATTACCTCGGTCATTTCCTCTAAGAATCTACAGCGAGCCACAAATGGGAAACGTGCCCAAAAATTGTTGAATAAGTGAATCGGAATTTCCCTATTCAATCGCGACAAGTTTTCATAAAATTATATCGTTAGTCAACTGCTCTAAGCGCTGGCAACGCGGTAGTGTTATACTCTTTCCAAAATTAATTTTTTTTTTAAGAAATAAAACCTTTTCCGTTTCCACGTGCTTGGGGCACAATCGGGCGGATTTCCAGAGGAAATCATATCCATTATCCAGCGAAACTCATTCCGTTGTACATCCTTTAGTCTGGCGGAAATAAAGGCTACAAAACTTTGTAGTCATAAGGTATGTAAGCCTGTGTTCGTCATAATTAAAAGTTCCAGGTTCTAAGTTTTACTACAATCCTTAGGTGATCAGGTCCCCCTCCATGTGGACATCACAGTAGGGAGAGGATTCCTCAAAAATCCGTCCCACCCCCGATACGATATTTTCACCTGTATTGAATGTGCAAATTAACCATCAGACGAGTATAAAATCCTACGTACATTGATTATTTCTCGCGCGAACAAATTCTTTGGTACAAATCCTACTGGAAAACGTGGAAAAAAAAGATTTCATCCGAATATCAGCTTTCCCTCGGCGCACCTACGGCAGACAACCCCCTCACGATCCTATTATGCGAACGCATGAAAATTTCTTAAAGTGCCGTAAAATACATATATACCATATACATATACACATATGTACGCAAAACTAACTTTCTGAACTAGCGCCTGGCATTTTGTAAAGAAAAAAAAAGAGAAAAATCTCAAAAGAACTTTGCTTAACTATGCAAAAAAATGCATGGAATCGATGCTTATTTCCTACAGTTACTTCGTTTAAACACTAACTTGTTATTCCTTTAGAGCTTAATTCATGTTTCTGAATCATATCTAAAGTTTCGTATTCTTATACATATATGAATGAGTTTAGAACCTAAGTTTGTAATTAACGTAGTCTAAGCCAGCAATAATTTCGTATATATGCATATTAATCACCAATAA